TCCCGGTATCCAATCACGAGTTTCGGATAACATTTAAACCTGACCCGGTATTACTTTAACCAGCCCAGTTTTTTTTAATTTATCCCAGTATAGAATCTATAGATGTCCATAAGGGACGGTGATCTCATTATCAATACGAGGCTTGCGTACTAGTTTAATCCCGTAAAGATATCTGGATGATCAGACACTTTTCCAGCCTCCCGTGGATAGTCCAGGGGTGAGGGGTGAGGGGTGAGGGGGTGAGGGTTGATGGGGAAGACGGTGTTGCAACCTATTTCATTCACACAAGCTTAAAATGCCATGATATGTCGACCGTCTTTCTTTCACGTACGGGCATGAGTATGTATACTGTATACTGTATACTGTATACTTATTTTTCTCCCTCCCCTTACCCTAAATCGTCGAATCGTGCAATAGTCCGTTGACTTCCAATGGATGCTCATGCCCGATCAGTATGCGTGTCATCGTTATCACGTTTCACATGAAGCCAGTCACCCATTTGCAGATCATATTTTGTTTGCCGATCAACTTTAATATGCATCTCTNTTAATATGCATCTCTTCCAACACGTTCCAGGTGGACCCCGCGGATCAGGACTATTTTGCACGATTGTTAGAAATGACATTCCAGTTCTGCATGACCTGGTCCATTTGTTGCATTGTGGACGAGGATGGGCGCAAGAAAATTGACGCTTATCTACGTGAAATGGAAGGCAGCTATCCGAACAAGGATTCCATTTACGAATATTTTGTTGATCCCAAAGGAAGAAGTTGGGTGCACTGGGAAGAGAAATTACGTAGTGGGTGGAAATATGCACCTAAGTAAGTTGATTTCCGTGGTTTTCTATCTACTTTAACCTCTTAACAACACTGACAATTACGGTCACGGAGTCAGTTTAGCAAGCGATAGCAGTAGTTGTTGAAAAGTTTTAAAAGGGAGCTTCTCTTTACACGTGCTGAGCAAGGCTGGAAGAAACGTCGCTGTGGTCAGACCATGACCATTGTGTATTGGAATGCAGTGTTGGCTTCGGTGGGTGCAGCTCTCGTTCAAAGATTGGGCCCAAAAGATGAAACTATCGCTGTTTGAGCACCACTGTCTGCATTGTGTCACACGAATCTGGTGGGGAACTCAGTGAAGCAAAGCTGAGTTTAGGAGCAGAGATTTAGGTAACCGCGGTCACCTACCGGAGCCAATGTGGACGACCTCCATAGATCACGCTGGTTGCGCATGTCATTATTCTTGCAACCTTAGTCCATGTGAATTGTCCATCTTCTTTTTGACGCTGCTCTCAACATTACAATCTTTCTTCGGCTCTTTTATCCTAATGAGCAATCATGAGACAACAACCAAAACCGGTGCACGAAAGTGCATGGTTAATGGTTGTAAACACTGAACTGAAAAATGCAGCCAATTAGACTGGCGTGGCGTGCGTTGTTTGCCCAGGACAGGTGATTGATGGGAAACACTAAAGGATGTCCAAGCTAAGACATCGCACGAGGGTATGAAAACCCTGAGGAGGAGAGTTGCTCATGTTAGGCTGCCTGGATGGGTATCCATGGCTTAGGGTAACCGATGGCTAGATAAGGTTGAATGTCGTAAACAATGGTATTCGTGCATGGATTCAATGTCATTAAAACCTTAGTCTACTTGAGTTCTCTATTTTCACCCAGATACCTATTTAAACATTCCAATCTTTCCCCTACTCAGTCATCCAAAGGGGCAATCAAGAGACGGCATCCAAAGCCGGCGCATGAAAGTGCATGTTTAATTGTTCTAAAAACGAAAACTGCACTGAACCAAGCGATACGGATTGTCTTTGGTTAGAAACACTAAGAGATACGGCCCAGAATAGAAGTCAGTTGCGCAGGTGTTGCATAGTCTGCCTTTTGAAATCCCGAAGTCCATAAAAATCATAAACCAACACACACTAAAATATCATAAGTGAATGGTGAAACAAATTTTAAAAAAACATTGTTATTCTTGTTCTCTTGTTCCACTATAATTGGTTACTTTCCATGTCGTTCTTTCCTATACCTCACTCCCACCGTTTTCTCTCATTGGTTAGAAATATTGAATGTTAATCCCCGGTGTTGTAAAAAGTGGTGTTACTGCATCTGTTCACTTTCTATACAGCTTTAGTTTAGTTTCCTACATCAGTGACCCTAACCACAAGCTCGTCTAATTACTCCAGTTAGGTAGAGAGCAACCAAAACTGTCACAAGATAGTTCGCCTACTATAAGCGGTGCTCTTCTGTGGGTGCGGTTTCTTGTCTTCCACAATCCGTTTTATCCATGGTTGACCAAAAAGCAAGACTGGTCACGCTTACTTTTTGGACTATGCACACTCCGTTGATATAAACACCGCTACAGTAGCAAAATCTCCCGTTAAATTTGCCGATTGGATTCGTGACTATTTTATTGGCTGACGCCAGTTCATATGTCCTAATGGTATTAGATCTTCCACTGACAGTGTAAACCAAGCTGTTTTCACATTTGTGTATTGGAGTGATGCAAACATCAGGACATGTACCATCTAGCTTACCTGACTGACTGTAACTGCCTTTATGAACAAATCCCGTATAGAAAACAATGATGTTTTTCGTCGAATTGTTTTACATTTCTACCGTAAGATTACAACTGGTCATTGTTAGTGTCCCCACAGTGGTCATCACTATTTCGCTCAGTCTGCTTAATAGCCACGAGCTCGTAAATGAACACGCCCGCTGTGATTTTATGTAATTTGTGGATGTTATTTATACAGCAATACTTTTCTGGCAACGAGTGTCCCCTTTTAACCTCGAATCGACTGCGTCCAATTTCGTTCTGTTCTACGAATTTAGCCGGGAGTTACAGTTAAGTCATAATTGGTTGTAGTTACTAGGTCATTGATGAAAAAACAGCCCAATCGCCAAAGGTCACCCCCATAACTCTGACCCAAACCTCTCAATGAATTTTACTGTTCGATTAAGCCCATGTTTCACGTAATGAAAAGTGCATCGCTCGGACTACACCGTAAGCACTGTACTCGCCCCTGGCCGTAGCTACTGTGGGGATTGAGCTGTCGTCCATGTTTGACAGCTGTC